GAGAGAGAGAGAGAGAGAGAGAGAGAGAGAGAGAGCGCGCGAGCGAGCGAGCGAGCGAGCGAGCCAGATGGGTACTTGGCCTACAATGGGCACTAAATTAAAAACTGCTGGTTGCAAAGAACTAGGCCTAACATGTTAATATCCACAGTAAAGTAGCCAAGGATCAATGTTTATTATATACATATTAAAATTCTTCATACTTCAAAAACATTACCTTTCTAAAGTTACTAATTTTTTTAGATATTTCCAACAAAATAAGCTTATAAAAATAAACTTCCTAAAATGTACATATATACTCACATATATATGTCTTTCCCACATACTATTTACTAACTATATGTGAATGCAAAAGCCTAGGTAGGCAATAAGGAAATTCTCAATCAAGGAGAGCAGCACACATTCTACTTCCACCACCACCCTCCACCTCCCACACAAAAGGTAAAGTCTGCCAGCATAAGATGAATATGTGCAATGCGGGTCTGCCAGGATCCCAAAAAGTGACGCTATGTCTAAGCCTTAGGGAAGAACAACATGCATTCCTCATATTTTCTTTTTCAAGAAGGGGTTTCTTTGTGTAGTTCTGGCTGTCCTGGAACTAGCTTTGTAGACCAGGCTGGCCTAGAACTCACAGAGATCCACCTGCCTCTGCCTCCCAAGTACTAGGATTAAAGGTGTGCACCACCACTGCCCAGCCTGCATTCCTCATATTTAATAAGCAATGGCACAGAAACTGCACAATCACTTTTCCATGCTATTTATATATCTATATTAACAAACACATTTTCCTCTGATGTACAACCAAAACCTATTCATTTGTTGTTGGGAGACAGTGGGAAGACTTGCAAAAAAAAATTTTTTTTTAGTGTCTAAAAATGGCCAAATACTAGTATCACACTGAATAAATACATAAGGTAATATGTACTGTGACATGAATGGAGCTTCATTTTCTATATATCTGACTCTTCAGAGACAATCAGTATATTATTAAGCTGGTTTTAGATGAAAATACTACAAGTCGTATTAGGCAGTTATTCAGTGGTGATTACTATGGGGGAGAAAAACAATTCCACTAGGTAAAGAGAGCTGATTCTGTTTTTGTTTGATGAGGTTTTGGGGGGTATGGTTTTAGGTTTGGTTTCTTGGTATTGGTGCCAATCTAAACCAAGGCCTTGAACACACTAGGAATCAACTCTACCAGTCCTTAGGATAGTTTCTTTGTATGTAAACCACAAAAAGCAAATCTTAAAACATTTGTCTTAGGAGTTGACTGAGCAAAGTAAAAGCCATTGCTGAGAACCCTGACAACCTGAGTTTAGTTACTTGGAACTCATATAAAAGCCAACTTCGCAGCGCATGTCTGTAATCTCAGTATTCCTACAGGAAGACAGGAGGCAGAGAGAGAATTTCCCCAGAAGCACACAGGCCAGCTGGCCTGGCCTACACAGAGCAGCAAATGAGAGAGACCCTGCTGCAGACAATGTGGAAGTTCAGGATCGACACTGAGGTTGTCCTCCAACCTCTACACATGTGGGTGGCATATGTCTATGCTTGCACATGAGCACACTGACATGTATCATATACACACACAAACAAATAAAATTTAAATGATTTTAAAGTTTATCTGACTCTCAGTGTTTCAGAAACAATAAACTACTTATTTCTCACCTCTCTAACCTGCTTATAAAAGACAAAAGAAAGCAGACAGGAACAGCTAAACAAAAAGAGGTATTTGAACAACAAACAAAGCCAAAGGATAAGAAGTAACAACAAACCACTCAAGCCTCCTTAGCTCAGTCCTATCTAGCATCGCACCATGAAAAACAAACCCATGTCATCTCCAACAGTCGGTCTCTTATCTACCGGCTCTCAGTGTTTAAAGGGAAAAGGAAATCAGAAAGAAGCAATAACTCTTGATTATAAAACTCCATGATCAAATGCGTCTTACACTGCCTTACAGTCAGGAATGCTACATAATGAGCTCTAAGTAAGACTGTTCTAAAAAGTCAATTATTTGACAAAAATTTAATGTGGTTAGCCCCAAAAAGGAGGAAAGAACACACAGACAATACAGAAATATTTCAGACACTTTTTCATGCTAGTGATATGGAGATCCACAAGTACTCTTCTAAACAATTCATAAACAACAAGCAGCTATAAGGAATCATCAACAAAAATTTTGTGATCATTTACTTTATAATAATTTCCTGAAACATTTGTAATGACTTTCTTTTGGCTGAGACAGGGTTTCTCCATGTAGTTTTGGTTCCTGCCCTAGATCTCGCTCTGTAGACCAGGCTGGCCTTGAACTCACAGAGATCTGCCTGGCTCTGCCTCCCGAGTGCTGGGATTAAAGGTGTATGCCAACACCGACTGGCATAATTACTTTATTAAACATTACAGTCATAGGCTAACATTCTGTTTCTCATGCATGTTCCTGGTGCAAAAATCTGAACATTTCTCTTAGTTACAGCTGTAATATGTATAAAACCAATAGCTCAACTAAACTTTCATCTCTCCTGAAACACAAACACAAAATTGCAGAAAATGATAACTTACTACATATCATTTCACTGCTTCCCTCACAGTTAACAATCATCTCCAAAAGTATCAGTAAGAAACAAACACCAGCAGGCAAGGTGGCACATGCCTTAATCCCAACACTCAGGAGGCAGACAGAGGCCAGCCAGCCAGCCACCGTCATATGCATAGTGAGACCCTGTCTCAAAATAAGAGAAGAAAAAAGAAACTAACAACAGTCAAGTCTTAAGAGTGTTGGCAGGAGCTGGAATGGAGTTTAGCTGGAAAAGCACTTGCCTAACTGTACCACATAAACCCAGCAAGGTGGCACAGGCCCGCAATGCTAGCACTCCAGAGGTGGAAGCAAAAGCATCAGATTTCAGGTCATCCTCACCTACATGGAGGAGTTCAAGGCCAGCCTGGGAATATGAAACCCTGTTTTTAAAAAAAGACTCCTGAATAAAATTTGAAAAACTGCATCACTAGATCTCGAGTTTCTTGCACTTACAAATAACTTTAATTAAAACATAATCACACAGCATCTACCTCAACAGTCATAATAAATGTTACATTGTAAGTTATAAGAAATAACCCTTCTAAGACAAGATCTAGTTGCTATCCACTCACATATTCTATTTAACTAAAAATTTTATAGAGACAAGAAAACACAAAGAAAAAGAAAAAAAAGTCAACCCCACCTGGATATCTGTTTTCAACCATTTAGAATCAAGTCGAGACTGGGCAGCCAAACAGAAAGACTCAGAAGGCATGTTTCCTCCAGGCGGTCAGGCCTGCAAGTCAAACAGAAACGTTTGAGACCTAAAGCTTTTTAAACTGTTATTTACACCGTTCTGCAGAGACAGGGAGGTAAAAAGAGGGGAGGAGGAGAGTTGGGGGGAGGGGACCAGAGGATGAGAGATGAGAGGGAAAGCTGGACCAAGAACGGGAGGAGGAAGGGAAATACCACTTCCAATAGAGGCAGAGCCGCTGGGATTTCCCAATACGCTGGCCAGACCTAAAGTGGTCAGAGGCGACCACTGCACAATGTCATCCCTCTCCCTTAAATCTAAAAGGGGCGCGCGCGCACACACATACACACACACACACACGAGACAGAAAAACTCACTATCGCAACGACGAATGACACCGGTGTGCATCAGCCGCTTTACCTACAGCAGTCCGGAGTGCGGGAAATAAACAAAAGTCATGTCTGCAGACAGAGCTACAATAATCGCCTGAATACTAAAGAGACAGCCGAGACTGCGCGCCTCCAAAGCGCACAGGCCCTAGTTCCTCCGCGCCAACGCCCGCCTTCCGCCCGCCGCTCTCCGGGCCCCGCTCTCCGGGACCTGGCGCCGCCTGTCGTCGGCCCCTCCGCCCTCCTTCGGCCCCGCTCGGCCAGACCTGGCGCCGCCCGCTCCGCCAGCCGGCTGCGGGAACACTCCCTGCAGGAGCCGGCCGGCGCTAGCGACCCAGTCTGCGGCCTGAGGCGCAGGCTGACGCATGACTGCGTCCGCCCAATAGCGCGAGGCTAGCGACGGCTTCAGCCAATGGACAAGCGGCGTCGCGCGGCCCGCCCCACTTCCGCTTCCTGCAGCACGACTCATCTTCCTTCTAGAGACTCACCCGCTTGGCGAGAGCCAACCGCAGATGCCGGAAGGCGGGACTTCTGGGCCCGCACTCTTGCTTGCTCCCTCCCTGTTCTCGGGCCGCTGTGTTTCCAGAGACCCGAGAGTTTCCAGAGTTTGGGCATCAACAGCGCGTCGAGACTCACGAGGCTCCATGGGCGGCACTGCAGCGTCTTCCTGGCCTTTGGGACACTGGGCATAAGACAAAATTTAAGAAAAGGCAATTGACCCGGCCCTCGTGGTGCAGGGAGACAGGAGCAGGTGGAGCGCGGTTCAGAAACCCAGTCTCGGGGGAGAAAAAAAAGGAAGAAAGCAATTGAAATCACACAAAAGTATGTTCTCTGATCATCATGGAATTAAACTATAAATAAATAAAAACATAACACAATCTCCAAACAATTAGAAATTAAACTTTTCCATGAGTAGAGAAGAAGCCAAAGGACGTAGAGCATTTCTAATAAGAGCTGGGGGTGTTAGGTCGCTACGGATAGTTCATTTTACCCATGGGTAAAAAGGCAGCATTGAGAGAAAGGGAAGCCACCAGTGGTATCGAGGCTCAATTGCAACGTTAAAATTGATTGTATTATCATCCTTGGTATGTAGCTTCAAAGTCACCCCATGGTCAAGGGATTTGCCTTAGCTCTAGACATCGTTTCAGACGGCAGAAAACAGCATAAAAGGGCTACCATCTTTTATCACATTTCCCTAAGACTCTATCACTAACTTACAGTTCTCCTTTGTTTCAAAAGACTGTGGACAAGGTTTCAAATTCAACTACATCCAAAATACAGAAAAGTTGGACAGGGTTATGAACCTGATTGCGAGACTGTCCCGTTACCAGTGAAAGGTAACACATGTGGAGGCTTCTCTGGTCTTCAGGCTCCCTCCTCATGCAAGACATCCTTGGTCCCTCATCCTTCCTGTGTCCTTTAGCTCTAAAAATGTTAGATGCTTATAGTCCATTTTGTGTTGCTGTAACAGAATAACTGAATAATCAATACAGAAATTTGTACCTCACACTTCTGGAAGCTAAGTCCAAAAACAGGACACTCGCATCTAGCAATGGCATTTCTAATGTAGTATAACATGGTAGAGGGGCAGGAGAACCCATGCATAGCAAGAATAAGCCAAGCAAATACAGCATTTTGGTCAAGAACCCTATCTGCATAATAGCATTAATTTAATTCATCAATGAGGCATGGCCTACTTGACATGTAGACCTAAAAAAAAAATTACACAAGAGAGTGTAACCCATTAGAGAAAGGATTCAAAGGTAGTATCTGTCAGAGGCAAATTTTTTATGTTTGGCAATTGGTGGTCCTCTATCCCTCAAAACTAGTTGGTTTGTGCTATTGCAGGAGATTGGATAATCCAGACAAAGAAAGAGAAGCTGACTGGTTCTCCATAGAAGACACCCTCCTTGGTGAAAGATTTGAAAATCTCACTAAATAGTTCCCTCTGGTAGGAAAAAGTCCACTCAGTCTCTGTTTTAGAGAGGGAAAAGAAACAGAAAGTCAGTGATCTGACATGCTTAAATGAAAAGTAAATAAATATTCCTAGAGCCTCTTTCCCTGTGTCCACCTGCCAGAGAACTGTTTACCTTCCAGTTCCTCAGTAGCACTGACCTTGCCAAATTCTTCCTAAGTTGGTCCCAATCATCCTTAGGATTTTGTGTTTAAGACTGATGAGATAACTATCCACTAGTAATTTAACATACAGGGCTGAAGAGAAAGCTTGGATGTTAAGAAAACTTGCTACTCTTACAGAGGACCTGGTTTTGGTTTGTGAGAAAAGAATAATCTTTGTGTGACACAAAGGAACACATAAACAAAACAAGAGTAGCTCAGAAGGTTTTTTTTCCAGAAAGGATTCTCAAAAACTCAAATTAGGCTAGTGAGCATGCATGTCCAAGATGTTCTCTGTTGTTTATCCCTAAATGCAGGTGAAGACTATATCTCATCCAATTGGTTGGAGCTTGACTTCACAATCTGAGATGATTGGCAAATCAGCACAAAGGGGGAGATTCAGGAAATACGGGTCCTCATCAGGCTAACTATCTTTGACTTAAAATATCTCTATATATGTCACAATCTCCCACTATATTGTACTTTGTTCAAAGCTAGCCAGCATATGTTGACTTTGTGACGCCTTTATTAACAGTGAATTATTGTTATGATAAGTGATGCTGGAGCATGGCTTACGGTGAGTCCACCTGCTGTGGACTATCCTTTATACTGTGTGAATATATGTCACTGTGATTGGTTTAGTAAAATCTAAACGATCAATAGCTAGGCAGGATTTTCAGGGAAGGGAGAATGCTAGGAAGAAGGGCAGAGGTGCCAGGAGTCACCAGCAGACTCAGAGGAAGCAGGACATGCAGGAGAAGTAACAAGCCATGATCAACGTGGCAGCATGTGAATTAATAGAAATAGGTTAGTTAAGTTGTAGGAGCTAGTTAGAAACAAGCCTAAGCTATTGGCTGAGCTGTCATAATTAATAATAAGTCTCTACATTGATTTTTTTGTGTGTGAGCTCGCAGCCCAAAGAAAAATATCTACAAAATATCTACAAACTGTCCAGGCACAGGTTTCCACATAAGACTTGATTTAAAAAAACCCAAACACAGTTTCCTAGTCCCATAGTCTCTCATGCAGGCCCTGGTATAGAAAGGCATATTCCAGCCACTGTCTTCAGATTTGAGCCATCAACATGAGTCCTGCCAAAGCACCATGAGCTAAGCTAAGCTGTGGTTTAAGGTTTTGCTCAAGCAGACATAAAAGTTTACAGATGCACAGTAAAGCAGGTTCAGATGAAAAAGTCTAAATAGGTTACAGTGTGTTTAAAAATGTGCATAGAATTAAGAAAGAAATAAGAGTATAGACAGTCATAGAAAAAATGGATAGTTTAAAAATAATAAAGTGCTGGGAGGTGATGGCACACACCTTTAATCCCAGCACTCGGGAGGCAGATCCAGGCAGATCTCTGTGAGTTTGAGGCCAGCCTGGTGGTCTACAGAGCGAGATCCAGGAAAGGTGCAAAGCTACACAGAGAAACCCTGTCTCAAAAAACTAATAATAATAATAATAATAATAATAATAATAATAATAATAATGTGAAGTCTTTAAAGAGAGAATTAAAATAATATAAAAAATAGTGAGCCACATAGAGATGGGAAATATGCAGGGAGTCTGGGTCCTGTATGGTGTTGTATTGACTTTAAAGTTTTTGATTGCTGATGAACAAACAATAACTGCTGAGAGACATTAGATTATGGAAACTGCTAAGTTATACCAACTTATATATTTTTAAAATGTCTTAACTTCAAAATGGAAGTCAAAAAATATATTACATTGGGGAAAAGTTATGCTTTTATTTCCACAGAAAATGAAAGGCTGTAGATCCATTCAAGGTTAAAGAGGATCAGGTTTGATCAGGGGAGACCCCTTGAAAATCCTGGCTACAGATATAAAGAAATAAACCTATAAAAAAATACAAGTCAGGTGACTCATATTTTTACCTACTCAAACATAAAATTAAAAAAATCATTTTTGACTGGCTTGTATACAATGCACAGTCTATACTTGTGTTAATGCAAATATGTTTACTCTGCACTTTCTATTTACTCAAATTATATGAATTCCTTCTGGTGCCTTTGATGGAGTTGAAGATTAGGAAGTTATAGTTCTTCTTAGTTATGATAGAAGGTAAACGAGGTACAGATCTTTGGACTCATCAAGAGAAAATAAATAATGGAGTGTTTTCTCCAAATAAGCCAAATACAAATGGACCTGACATTGTAAATGTAATTCTTACCTGATAATTGTTCTTATTGTTAATAGTTTTATTATGTTAGTGTTAAAACCTTTCTTTTTTATTTGGACAAAAAGGGAGAGATGTCGTGGAATATTCGTTTACACTGTGATTGGGTTAGTAAAAAGCTCAACTGTCGATAACTAGGCAGGATTTTGGGGTCAGAGAGAATTCTGGGAAGAAGAAGGGTGGGGTGGCAGGAGTCACCAGCAGATGCAGAGAAAGCAGTACATGCAGGAGAGGAAACAAGCAATAAGCCATGTGACAGCATGTAAATTAATAGGAATGGGTTAAGTTAAGTTTTAGGAGGTAGTTCGAAACAAGCCTAAGCTATCAGCTGAGCTTTCATAATTAATAAGTCCCTGTGTTGTTTGTTGTGAGCTGGCAGTCCAAAGAAAAGTCTATCTACACCCACTTTCCTAGGGGGGCTCCTAAAGACTGAGCAGTTGACCTGTTCCAACTGTAATGTAATGTTTTTTACCCTGGTCAGAGATTCTATTCTCTTGACCAGGACATTTCTCTTAATAAGGCTTTACTGCTATCTTACTATTCTCCCTATAAAGAGGTAGAATTATTTAGGCATCAGGTTAGAGATCAGGTCCCTCAAACACTTTTGACATCTCTGGCTTCTGGCCAGAATCAAGCTGCCAAGAGATTCAAGGATAGTTTGTGCTTTCTGCTAAGAGAGAAACTGGTTTTATTTTTTGTTTTTGGTGATGGTGGTGGTTTTGTTGGTTTGGGTTTGTTTGTTTTTTGTTTGTTTGTTTGCTTTTGTTTTTGGGGGGACCGGGTGTCTTTATATAGCCCTAGCTGTCCTAGAACAAGCTCTGTAGACCAGGCAGCCCTGGAACTCACAGAGATCTGCCTGCCTCTGCCTCCTGAGTATTGGGATCAAAGGCGTGTGTCCAACTGCCCAGAATTGTTTTTGGTTTTGTTTGGGTTTGTCGTTGTTGTTGTTTGTTTGTTTGTTGGGTTTTTTTTTTTGTTTTTTTTTAATTCTTTTTACCCTGGACTGCCTAGCCAATATTTATTATCTTTTGTTTTAATCACCCATCCTCCCTCTGAAGAAGTAACCCTGCCATGATTAAATTGGGGTAATGATCAATCTGACTGCTTCAAGCAGAATGAGGCCATCAGGCATGGCAGTCAGGGAACACCTGCTGGGGGCCTATCTAAAAGACCAAAAGTATGTTGACAATTTCATTTGTATGACAGCCAGGTGTATGGAGGAAAGGAAGTATAGCAGTACTTTTCTTTGGGCCACCAGCTCACAAATAATGACATGGAGACTTATTATTAATTATGAAAGCTCGACTTTAGCTTAGACTTGTTCTCAAATATCTCTTATAACTTAAATTAACCCATTCATATTAATATACGTTCTGCCATGTGGTATTACTTCTCTTCCATCTTGCACCTCCTATTTTTTCTCTGTGTCTGGGTTGTGACTTTGTCTTTCTTCCTCCTAGCATTCTCTCTCTGCCCAGAAGTCCCACCTATCTCTCCTGCCTAGCTACTGGCCGTTCAGCTTTGTATTACACCAATCACAGCAATACATCTTCACGGTATACAAACAAGGAAGTCCTTCACTGATACCTGAAAACTAATGTGAGGGAGAAGTAAAGGCAAAAGTTGTTAGCATTAGTCCTAAGCTGGGGACCAGAAGTAAGAAGAAAGGATATCTTTTAAATGTCCCAGTCAAAATCCACTAGAGGCTCTTGATGGGATCACAAGAATATCCATGGATTGGGTCCTCCTCTTGGTTTTTCACTTTGGTCTATAAGGCTGCTCTCCAGAGTGGTGAACTCAGGATCTGCTTTCAGGCCTTTGATGGCTTTTGAAGTAGCTAGAATCAGCATGAGATCCCACCCACAGTGGCTTCTAAATAGAGGGAAGAAAGAAACTTAGCCATCATTTAATTTTTAGGTTAAAACAATAGTGGCTGTAGATAGGTACAGCAGTGAGCTGCTGTCTGATATATTATATCTGAGCAGCACTTTTCTTATCAAAAAGAAAAGCATTAGTGAGTAATAGCTATACAAACAACATCTCATATAAGTTGAAGACTGTCCGTGGAGTATAATCCTGTGCAATCTGGTTTATTTGTCAACTTGATACAAGCCTGGGGAAAGGGCACCTCAATTAGGAAAATGCCCCTCTTAGACTGTCTATGGTGCATTTCTTGCTTCCTGATTGATGTGAGAGAACTCAGCCCACTGGGGCTGATCCCATCCTTGGGGGTTGCATAAAAAAGCAGGCTGAGCAAGCCATGGGGAGCAAGCCAATAAGCAGCATTCCTCTGTAAGCTTTGCTTCAATTCCTGCCTCCAGGTTCCAGCCTTGATTCCCTGCCCTGACTTCTCTACACAATGGACTGTAAGCTATAAGGTAAGCTTCCTCTCTAAGTTGTTTTTGGTCATAGAATTTGTCACAATGATAGAAAACAAACTAAAATAGATAGATCCCTTGGACTGCTGAGGAAACATATCAATCATTTTAGCCTTTGATCACATTTTCCTGTTTAAAAGCATTCCTGTTTTTTTTTTTTTAAGATTTATTTATTTATTATGTATATAGTATTTTGTCTGCATGTATGCCTGCAGGTCAGAAGAGGGCACCAGATCTCATTACAGATGGTTTTGAGCCACTATGTGGTTGCTGGGAATTGAACTCAGGACCTTTGGAAGAGCAGCCAGTGCTCTTAACCTCTGAGCCATCTCTCCTGCCCAAAAGCATTCCTGTTTTTTAAAAATTCCTGTTTAAAACCATTAAAGTTGCCAAAACATTTCTTTAACTGTTAAGTCCAGTTGAGGATCTGGTCCTTAGGAATCACTTGGGTTTGCAATGAATCTCTGGCTCCTCTAGCCTTTCTTTTCCCAATTGTTCCATCTATGTGAGGAAAGTCAAAGACCCTGCTTCACCTGGCTGTAGCTGCACGTGGAAGCATCCATTAATTTTTCCCTCTGTGTTGTCCTTCTTTGTTGTAGACTGGATGCTAGCTGGAATTCACTGGTAGGTCCTCATGCCCTCCATGAGCAAGAGAACAGGTGATTCCCCCCCCACACACACACACAGTTACAGGACATTTTGAGAGATACTCCACAGTTCCCTGGAACCTAGTTGACTTTGTAGAGCAAGGAGAAAACATTCTCCCTTTTTAATCTCTCTGATGACATCAA